TGCAGGCACATGAGGCTCTGAGGCAGCGCAAAAGTAGCAGAGCATCTTTATTCGTTTATCCATTAATGTCCTTTGTTATTTCCAGAAACATTAGGAGCTATTTTCTGGCTCGGCTGCCGCTTCCCTTCTCCGCTTCCCTTCTCCTTCTGCCAGCAGCTGCCCCTGCGTGCCGGCTGGGCTGGGGCAGAGGCAGGATTGCTGCAAACGCTTCGTTTAAAGGGGTGTTGATGAGGCTGGATTTTGGTAAGTGCTTCCCCAGAGCCCCTGGTCAACCCCGCTGCTTTTCTCCTCTTCCCTGCCGAGCCGTAACTGCCGCTGAGCCGGGGCAGGGCTGCGCGCCGGCGTCACCCCTTTTCTGAGCCTGATTTTCCACTTCCCTCCCCAGGCGCCTGCAGGACACAGCCGCCCCGAGGAGCCGGGCAGGGTCCTGCGGCAGGGGACAGCCACAGCAAAGCTGTGATGAGGAGCAGGACGCGCTCCACGGACACCTGAAACCCGCGACTGACAGATTTTGGGGTGCCGCGGCTGGCCGAAAGGAGGGGTTTCTCAGGTCTCAGCCACAGCCATGGAGCCCGATGGCGACAGGGATGTGACCAACGCCACCGTCTACGAGCTCGCCCTGCAGAACTGCTCCAACGCCAGCGTGCAGTTCACCGGGGTGCAGCTCATCCAGTCCTTCAAACCCCTCATCATCCCCTGCTACGCCCTGGTCGTCCTCGTCGGCATCTTTGGCAACTACCTGCTCCTCTACGTCATCTGCAAGACCAAGAAAATGCACAACGTCACCAACTTCTTCATCGGGAACCTGGCTTTCTCCGACATGCTGATGTGTGCCACATGCGTGCCCTTCACCCTGGCCTACGCCTTCAACCCCCAGGGCTGGGTTTTCGGGAAGTTTTTGTGCTATTTCGTCTTCCTGATGCAGCCCATGACAGTCTATGTCTCTGTCTTCACGCTCACGGCCATCGCGGTTGACAGGTAAGCGCCAGCGGGGTGGATGGTGTGGGGGTCTGAGTCTGTCCCCTCGGCTCCCCTCAAACTGCTGCTCGCCCGGCTCGGGCTGTTACGTGCGGAACGCTTGGCCTCAAAATTGGAAAAGGAAAAATCCAGGGGATCTTTGCAGTCCCTTTTCTTTAGCATCAGGACTCGGCCTCGGGTGGAGGATGCGCAGTGGGGCGTTCGGCTGGCTGCTATGTTGCGTCGGGAAGGGGTGTTGTGCGGTTTCATGCCTGTCTGTACGAGGCCATCTCTACCGAAATTCAGTCTGCCCGCGGCCAGGTCTGTGCTCCCGGCGGGCACGGCTCTCACAAAAGGGCTGTTGGAGTTTGCATCCGGTTCTTCGTACTTTGCTGGGTAAATTTGCACCCAAATCACGCTGTGTTCTGGCCCCGGAGTGGAGAGTACTTGTGCCTCCCTGAGTGCGCCTGGGCAGGGGCTGACGGGGGGTGGCTTATAAAAGTCGTGTTTCCATAGAGATCTCCTCTCATGAAAGATGCTGCAAACCCTGTGAGGATGGGTGCGATGCTGGCAGTGCCTACGGCAGCACCGGGATGCCTCTCGCACTGGTTTGCCTCCGGCGGAGAGCGGGGCACGACTGTGACGGGAAGAGCAAAAAAAAAAAGGGAAGATTTGAGCAGAATGGCTGTGAAAGCCTGGACTGCTGGCAGAGCCGTGCTCCCCTTTCTGGGGGCTTGAGATGTCCCCAGGAGTGCTGGTGGGGTTCCTTTGCTCTTCAACAAAGCCTTTTTTTTTTTTTTAAGTGAAAACGATTTGCTTATGTTTCTCCTTCCAAAGAGGCAGCCACCAAGTTACACTGTCCTCAGTGTGTTCATAAAACATCATTGGGATTCATCCCAAATGGATGATTTCAGCCCAAATCCTCCAGCTCCGATGCGGGGGAGCACGCGGCCGCGCCGAGGCTCTGCTGGTCTCGGACTTCAGCACGAGCGCTCGAGCAAAGCACGTGCCGGAGAGCTATCGGTGTTTTCCTCTGCATGGGCAACGGGGCTGCGCGTTGCACTACCCAACACTGCGGTATTAAACCTTGCACTACGAATCGTTGCAAGAGCAAGCAGCAGGCAGTGCTGCATAAAATCAAACTACGGTCACCGAAGAGCTCGCTTAAGGCAAGCCCTTGATCGTAAGGTGAGGCAGCGCGGAGAGGAGCGGAAGATGCTCAGGGGAGGAGGACGTAAAAGATTTGCTGGTTTTTGTGGCTGTTGGCTCGGTGCTGCCTGCGGGGCTCAAGGCAGGCGCAGAGACGGGCTGCGGGAGGGATGCTCCGCGCCCAGCCCCGCCGGGCATCCCGCTTCCCGAAACAGCAGAAGCGACCTGGCGCACCCCTGGGTCCCATGGCAGGGCGAGGGGACGTGGTCACCTCCCTGTCCCCAGCCGGCCCTTTCCCGGCAGCTGCTCCCGCAGCCCCTCGTGACGGCACTTCTGCCCTTGCCAAGTGTCCGGGAGGCGCCGCGGCGGTGGCCGTGGGTTTCC